TGTCGATTTGTTTATCCCTAGATCTCCTCAGATGCGAGCAGTTCTCAGTTAATTTGTTGCTCTTAGGATGTTAAAGGGATTGATTCTAAATCTTCAGCAGGTTTTCTCCTATCTCGGGTGGGTGATTCCATGTGATGACCAGGGCTTGGGTCGACCTTTTCATCACAGTTGATTGTGTCGTTATCTGTTGAGGGTATCAAACCGGTTGCGTGATCTAATCTCATTGCGTGATCTGTTCCCATCCTTCTGGTGGTTAAGTGATCACCTACTGGAGATGTTGAACTACTGGCATGACACATTCTCACTTCACCATCAAGACCTTATCGTTCATCCTCGTTGATCTGATTAGGGTTCTGGGCATGTTGATCTCCTTATCTCAAAACTCATGGGCTTATCTCCTTCGGAATTTCATCGCGTAAGACCCATCCTCGGTTCATCCCTCTTCTCGGATGACAATCATAGTCGGAACGTCATTGATCCCTCCAGAGTTCATATTGTTGGCTTTTAGATCTTAATCGTCCACAGACGGCACCAATTGTTGATGCATAAATTTGGCCTCTTGGGATCTAGCCAAACTCGTACTAGTCTTCTAGAATAAAGAGATTAACGAGACCTGCAAAACAGAATAGCACTAAGACCGGTGTGGCTTTTGCCACACGAGCTCCGATGCTTAAGTTAGAACGGAGAGTATAAAGTGTAGGGTGTTGTGAGCATACCTCTAGGGTTTGGCTTACTTCCCTATTTATAAAAGTTGAATCCTAATCTCCCTAGGGTTTACAGAAGTTGAACCCTAGTATCTTTACGAGATCTGGACTTCTGGGCCCATGTGTTTCGTCGTGGATCTAATGTCGGATCAAGGGTCGAGATCAGGCAGGCACAAGGATTGAGGGGAGTCGAATTAGGATTCTTGGCCTTTTGGCTGAAACACCTCAGCGTCGAGGAAGCCTCGACGTCGAGCAGTGCTTGGTGCCGACCACGAGTTGGTTTGGGTTGACCCGGGCCGACGATCTTCGACGATTCACCTTCTGTCGCTTCGTCTGTTCTATATTTTTCCTTCCATAACAAGAAGTATACGTTTTTACTAATATTTTTTTTCACTGCTTACTACCACTTTCAGATCTAATCTTTTTCTTTTGTAAAAATTAGTAAGTTTTAAATTTTTTTGGATGGTATTGTTTTATAAAGCATAAAATTTTTCATATTTAAGTTTTGATGATTTTAAATATTTTTTATTGATGAATATTTTGTGTTTTTTTATGTGTATTAAAATATGTATTGGGTTTTAAGGTGTTGTAACCCAATTTTTCAGACCGGTTCATAAAATTAATATTTTCGTAGAAAATTATTTTGAATGAAAAAGATTAAAAGATCAAGATTGTTCAATATTAAGATCGGTTCTTAGAACATTATGTCTCTTTATCCATTTAAAATTTTATTCAGCATGCTACTGTTAATTTTTAATATTTTTAACTAATAAGAATACGAAATTTAGGAAAATGTAGAGCTTGAAATATTGAAAAGTTTTGAATATTTATTCCTATAAATTAATTCTAAAAATATTACGAGTTTGAGTTTAATTAGAACAAATAATAGTATTTCAAAGGTGTCGAATCCTGAAATTTTTTCCTATTTGCTTTATTTTTTTCGTTTTCAATTAATTATTAACAATTATTCAATAATATATTTTGTACTACAAAAAATTAAATATTATAAATTTTGACAATAAGTTAGAGTCAGGATAAAGCTAAATACTATCCTCCAAATTGAGCAAATTTTCTATGTTTAGAATCCTTCAGCTCATATGGATAAATTAGTTTTGTTGGGAGAATTCATTAACGAATTTTCTATGTTTAGAATCTATGAACAAACCAACATACAAAAATAGATTGGAAACAACTCCCACCTGATCACCAAGTTTCCCTATATAAGCACAAAAATTCAGAGAAATAATTAAGCCAAAACATCTACATCTTTTTTGTAGATTTAAAAGATGTTTAAGCTTCAATGGCCTCTACTTCTATTTCTTGCAACTTCAGCTTCCTTATCACTTTGTATGGGAGCAAATGTCTCCTACGATTCCAATGCCATAATTATCAATGGTGAACGACGCATTATCTTCTCAGGTTCGATTCATTATCCACGAAGCACGGCAGAGATGTGGCCTGATCTTATTCAAAAAGCTAAGGATGGTGGGCTTGACGCAATCGAGACATATATATTTTGGGATCGTCATGAACCTCAAAGACGAACGTATGATTTCTCTGGAAATCTAGATTTCGTCAAATTCTTCAAGCTTGTCCAAGATGCCGGACTTTACGTTGTCATGAGGATTGGTCCCTACGTGTGTGCCGAGTGGAACTATGGAGGCTTTCCGGTGTGGTTGCACAATCTGCCGGGAATCCAACTACGAACTGACAATCAAGTCTACAAGAATGAAATGCAAACTTTCACTACAAAGATAGTGAATATGTGTCAACAAGCCAACCTCTTTGCATCACAAGGAGGGCCAATAATCTTAGCTCAAATCGAGAATGAGTATGGAAACGTGATGACACCTTATGGAAATGCGGGAAAAACATACATCAATTGGTGTGCTCAAATGGCCGAATCTCTTAATATTGGTGTTCCATGGATCATGTGCCAACAGAGTGATGCCCCCAAACCCATGATTAATACATGCAACGGATGGTATTGCGACAACTTTACTCCCAACAATCCTAAAAGCCCAAAAATGTTTACTGAGAATTGGGTGGGATGGTTCAAGAAATGGGGCGATAAAGACCCTCACAGAACTGCAGAAGACGTAGCATTTTCCGTGGCAAAATTTTTTCAATCTGGTGGCGTATTTAACAACTATTACATGTATCATGGAGGCACCAACTTTGGGAGAACATCTGGAGGTCCATTCATCACAACCTCTTATGATTATGATGCACCACTTGACGAATATGGGAATTTGAATCAACCGAAATGGGGGCATCTCAAACAACTCCATGCTTCAATCAAATTAAGAGAGAAGCTTCTCACCAATGGCACCCGCTCGAACGAAAACTTTAGTGGCTTTGTTACTTTGACCAAATTCTCTAACCAAGCAACGGGGGAGAGGTTCTGCTTCTTGAGCAACACAGATAAGAGCAACGATGCCACCATAGATTTGAAAGCAGATGGAAAATACGTTGTGCCAGCTTGGTCTGTGAGCATTCTTGATGGTTGCAACAAGGAGGTTTATAACACTGCAAAGGTTAATTCTCAAACATCTATATTTGTGAAGGAGCAAAATGCGCATGAAAATGCACAACTCTCGTGGTCTTGGGCTCCAGAACCCATGAGGGACACCCTACAAGGAAAGGGCAGATTTCAAGCGAACCTTCTATTAGAACAAAAAGGAACTACCGTTGATTTCAGCGACTACTTATGGTACATGACGAATGTTGATACCAATGCAATATCTTCTCTTCACAACGTGACTCTCCAAGTGAGTACAAAAGGTCATGTGCTCCATGCTTTTGTAAATAAAAGGTACATTGGGTCACAATGGAAAACCAACGGACAAAATTTTACGTTGGAGAAACCTATTCTACTAAAATCAGGAACCAACACCATAACCCTTTTGAGTGCCACAGTTGGACTCAAGAATTACGATGCATTCTATGACACGGTGCCGACGGGAATTGATGGAGGTCCTATATATCTAATTGGAGATGGAAATGTCACAGTTGACTTGTCATCAAATTTGTGGTCTTATAAAGTTGGATTAAATGGAGAAATGAAGAAATTTTATGATCCGACGATCACTCAAAGAGCAAAGTGGAGCGAATTAAATCAAAAATCGATTGGAAGGCGAATGACATGGTTCAAAACTAACTTTAAGACCCCTCCAGGAACTGACCCAGTAGCCTTGGACATGCAAGGTATGGGAAAAGGCCAAGCTTGGGTAAATGGGCGAAGCATAGGTCGATTTTGGCCTTCTTTCATGGCTGGCAACGATAGTTGCAGTGATACGTGTGACTACAGAGGTCCATATGATCCTAAAAAATGTGTTAGTAATTGCGGGAATCCTTCTCAAAGATGGTATCACGTCCCAAGATCATTTCTTTCCGGTGACACAAACACGTTGATTTTATTTGAAGAGATTGGTGGGAATCCCCAGCAAGTGTCAGTTCAAACCATCACTATAGGTACTGTTTGTGGAAATGCTAATGAAGGAAGCACCTTAGAGTTGTCGTGTCAAGGAGGGCGTATCATCTCGGATGTCCAATTTGCTAGCTATGGAAATCCAACGGGAAAATGTGGTTCGTTTAAGAAAGGTTCATGGGATGTGACAAACAGCGATATTTTGGTTGAAAAGGCTTGCATTGGCAGGGAGAATTGTTCAATTGATGTATCTGCAAGGTCATTTGGATTAGGCGATGCTACCAATTTATCTGCATCACTAGCAGTTCAAGCTATTTGCTCACAGAATAATTGAGTGATGTAATTTATGTATATAACTATGAATTCTAAGCTAATCCAAATATTTATATTTCGTTCCTCCTCATGGTATTATTTTCTAGTTCAAGTAAAATAGCACCTTGAAACATAAAATCTCAAAGAGGTATTCAAATCTACCTACATTTTTAATATACTAGTTTATTACGTGGAGTAGACGGATTATTCATATTCATTCTTTTTCATGGCCTTATCATTGAATTCCTTGGCATGGATCAACTTACTCTCATACCAATTGATAGAATCGAATGGTTTAGAAGGACTATAATAATTTACACGTAATTCAATGTACTTGTTGAACCCTCCCCCTGAGATCACTCGTGTCTAAACCACACTAAACAATTGTCTACCTTCACTCCTTCCCTTTACTCTATTTATAATCAACTCCTCATGACAACCTCCTTGGCCTGAAGCCATTTCTAGCACCATCTCAAAGGTCACAATGGTTCCACATTATAACGAAACCAACAAGGTTTAAGATTAATTATGAAATATTAAGGGGATGATTTGAACTTAAATGGTGCAATTTGCATTTATCCAAAAAAAAAAACAAGGTCATCTTAGACAATCTAGTTTGTTGTACAACAAACAAGATAAATAGAAGCTATCAATATTTAATATACAAGTATTTGATTCAATAGATCGAGAGTACTAGAATTTAAAAGCAATATTGACAGAGGATGAAACTCATAGTACTTTCAAAAGTTGCACCTCAAATATCAAGGGCTCGTTATGATGCGATAAAAGACTGCGTCGAGGACCAAACTGCAACCAAACAAACTTAATTTTATCGACTAACATTGTAGTATATGACAAAGAAAAAGTGATTATGATGGATAACGTTAATGCCACTAAGAGAATGATTAGTGAACAAATTTTCTTCTACCTCTTCAGGAATTGGGTTCAAATTCTCATTTATGTAACCCACAGAAGGAGGTATAAGTGCTCTTCTTTTTCCTGATAACAAAAAACAATAATAATGAAATTAGTAAAGATAACAAAAACGGGAGTGAAAAATTGTCTGATAACGTTTATGTTTCTTGTTTTCTATTTCTGCCGTTAGTCAGGAACAGACGAAGCAGTATAAAAGGAAGAGGGCAAGAGAATAGGAATCTAAAATACAAGGCAAATGCAATGAAAGGCATAATAAGGAAAGGAATGCAAGCCATGAACATGTTGAGAGGCCATGGTTAAATGAGATGAAGAACAAATGAAGAAACGATTTAAAACATAATTTTATGTCACTTAACGAATGAAACGTGAAGAGCAAAACTTGAAGATTTAATATCCATACAATACCTCCAACTCTCATGCCAATCAGCACCTCTTTCAAGCCCTCTATTATCTGTTAGAAGTAAAATATCAGAGATAAACACCAAAAAATGCAGGATTTTTTTGTTTATAAAGAATGATGTGCATATCCAATTATTGAATGACACAAAGGAAGGTGATCAAGCAAACTAAGATCTTTTTCTTTCCTTTTTTTTTCTTACTTTGAGAAGAAAAAGTATATAGCTGCTGGCACAAGTGGTGATATAGGAGCTTCAGAATCTAAAAGAGAAAAGATACTACAAGCTAACTAACAAGGAGCATCTTCCAAAACTCAGCAAAGTTCTTGTGATATATATCGTTCTGGGTTGGTTATTTAATCAGAAACTTCAATAATGATCCCTTAAACTGTAATGGATGGAATTGTTCTAGTTTACTTGTGGTTTGGCATTCCAAGGAATAAAGATTCATATGTGTCACTCACATGACCTTATTGATTAAATGTTCTGCATTGACCTCACTAAACTTGAAAAATATAATTTAAGTAATTGTATTGACTGTTTTGGTCGATTATTTAATCAACAACTCTGCTTGAATGTTCTGATTGGTGTTACCATCGAGTAACCATATGTGTTCTGAAGGCTACCTAAATAATGCATGTTCTCACTCTAATATTGAAAGTTTTGATTGATTGAAAGTATTGTTCGAATGAAAAAGTTTTATTCCCTGAAGTTTTGTTTTATTGAAAGTTTTGATTGATTGGAAGTAGTGTTTGAATGAAAAATTTTATGGACTAAAGTTCTGTTTTATTAAAAGTTTTGGTTTTGGAAGTATTAAATGACCAAGAAAGTTTAGACCTTTGTATTAATTGTTTGTAAGAATTTCTATAACTCCAACCGATTGTATTTTGTTTACAAATGTTTTGAAGGAAAGTGAATTTCAAAGCTTGATATAGAAATTGCTAATCGAGTATTTTTTTATTCATTTTTTGTTTTTTCATGAATATTTTTAAAATGAAGGACCGGATGATAATTATGATAGGAAGTGAAGTTTAACATTCTGGCATGAGTTTTGAAAGTGATCGTCTTAGATTGTTTTAGAATTTTTATGTTAAAACGCTGAATACTTTAAGTTTGTTAAAGCTTTTGTTTGTACACTTCTGCATTTTTTTGATAGAATAGTTGTATTGGAAAATACGGACGGTTACATCTACATTGATACAACGTCGAAAATTTCCAAACAATCAAAATGAACAGCAAGCATGTTTGCTGTGGCCAATCACAATGGACAAATTCACACCAGTAAACAGATCATTGCACACCATCAAATATGATAACCATGATATCCATTCAAAATTATAGAAAAATTCTCTCGATAATTTTCTCTAAGTACCTATATAAAAGAAGAGATTACCTGGTTTTCTTTCAAAGGCAGGATTACTGGTGTGCTTTCTCCACTGAATTGATCTACCGTGCTGTGAATGTTATAATAAAAGCAATGGGAAAGATTAAAAAAAATAATAATAAATTACTTGCCATAAATCCATTAACAAATTTACATAGTTGGTTGCTAAATACCAGAGAAATACATTACCTATGAACAAAATATCCATTTGAACGCCTGCAGACATAATTGATCTCCACCAAGTCTCCTTCATGTGCTTCTGCTCCATCTCCCTCGAGGACTTCTATTAATTGGAACAAAAAATGTTAGAACTACAGTGAAATTATCTATCACAGACCTTATTTGTTTTTATATTCAAGAATCATATAGAAGAGTCATTCAACGTATAATAATGTACGTCTCATTTGATAACCATTTTATTTTTTGTTCTTTGTATTTAAAAATTAAGCTTAGAAACATTACTTTCACCTATGTGTCCTTTTGTTTTGTTATATAGATTTTATAACCATTTTCAATATTAGATCAAATTTTGAAAACAAAAGAAAAGTAACTCTCAAAAACTTGTTTTTATTTTTGAAATTTGGATAAAAATTCGAATATATTTTCAAGAGAGGTGAAAAACTTACTGATTAGAACAAGCATAACTTCTAAAAAAGAAAATTAAAAATGAAATAGTTATCAAACCGCCCCATAGTTTTCATCACAATCAGTATGAAGAAGGAACTCAAACTATCACATATTTTGAATGTAATATACTAGTCTGCTACAGCTTCATTACAACTAAATAAGAGTTCATCTGCAAACATCAAAAGAAATCTTCTTTCCAGAACGAAAACAGGGTAAAAACTAAGCCCCATTTAAAAACAATTATAACTATACATTTTTTATTTGTTATCTACTTTTAAAAAGTTCTATAAATTAAAATCTTGAGATTTCGAAAGTGCTTTTAAAAAGAGAAAAACAGAGTAGATAAATACTTGGTGAATAAGCTTAATTTTTAAAAACAAAATTATTACTAGATGGGACTTAAGAAATTCTACCTTGAATCCTAACTCCACTGTCAAGCTTTAGCGTCCTGAAAGCTTCAAAATTTAAACAACAATTCCAAAATGAGAACACGTGAACCACTTTGGATGGATGCTCATGACAGCCCCTCCATCGTGAGGCTAAGAAAATTATATAAAAGTTTAAAGAAAAAAATTACAAATGAAATACATACCGAACTATTTCAGGCTCTTGCATGTCCATCATTGGTGCACCAAAACTAGGATGTGCATAAAACAAGATGGGATACAGACCAATGAACTGTGAAAACAGCCTTCTTGGAAATCTTTTGGCAGAAAATGATCTAAATCTGACATCCAAGTGATTGTCCATAGGAAGCTTGGATAATTCATCGCCCATGCACCTGGTCTTGTGGAAACTACAAGAGCAGCCATTGATAAGCTGTCAAGAAGTGAATTTCTTCTGATAACAGCTGTATTGAGTTTTTTAATTTGGGATTTGAAATTGAAACGTTAAACACCACTCATACAACCTTAAAGGGGAGAGACCTTATGACTATCTTTTGCTACTAATACTCTAACATGATAATATTGTTTGTTGACATCTAGCATCTGTAATTTATTGTTTGTTGTTTCATTGTGTTATATGATAGGGTCCTAATTCTTAGAAAATAACACCAAAATTATATTGCAATATCAAATAAAGTTGAGTAATAGCCTTTTAAGTTGGATATCTCTCTTCCACAAGATAAATAATTCCCAAAATTTTGATTAATCCCCAACTCTCTAATTCCTGCTATTTACATCCACTCCAGCCTAACAACTTCTCAAGTAATTATAATTATGCCTGCCAACATTCCCACCATTTTCTTTGTTTGAATGAAAAAAAAAAAAAAGTCAGAGATAAATGAAACGTTTAAAGAAGGCTAAAAGCTTACAAAGGGCAAAAAGTTGGCAAAATTCTTAAGTTTCTCTCTAACCAAACCTCCCAAAAATAGAAAAAAAATACCGCTTATCCACAGGATCACTCTCTTGTCCTTCAACCTTTGACAGTACGTATTCGAAGGATAAAAACTTATAGTTATAGGTTACTCGACCAGACAGAGCTGAAGCCAAAATACCAGAAAAATCCCAATCATAGTCATTGTTAGGATCCCAAATACACCAAACGAAACTAAGTAACTATATTGTAATATCAAAGAGAAATTACAATATCAATAGCCTCTCGAGAGGGTTATCTCTCCCGCAAGAACTCTCTCAAGTTCCTCACTTTAAACTATTATCCGAGATATTCTCCTTTCTCCCCTATTATCCCTATTGATATCCATCCTACCCCTAATTTTAACTCATTACCATACTACTCCTTCATTAACACACTAATAATATTCCTCCTATACTCCTAATAGGACTCTCACGGCATTCCAAGAAATAAAGGTGAGATTAAGGGAATCCTCCCACAGCGAAGCGACCCAAGTCACAAAATCCAACAGAATCTCAGTTAATAGTAACTCAGAAGAAAGAAATTCAGTGGTGGAAGAGCATACCCAGAAATTTTGACGGGACAAGGAGAGCGAAACAGGCTCCAGAAGGAGAGAACTTCCATCGCCTAGAGAATTGAGAAGTAGATGATGTTAATGGATAAGAAGCGGTGGATGAGGAAGAAATGGGGCAAGAATTTTAGCGAAAGCGAAGTAGTTTTTGGACGTTTTTGTTGGCAGTGATTTCAGCTTCATCCATCCTGATCCTGAGAATGTAATAAATCAAAATCAAAATCAAAATCAAAATCAAAATCTACTGACTGGGAAATGGAAAATCTTCATCAGTTTGGTATTTGGAACCGACGTTACTCGTTAATTTCAATCGACAAATTTTTCTTCATTTTCGCTAACTTACCGAAACAGTTGGTTTCGATACAATCCAATTCTTTTTTATTTCTTAGAAAGCAGGAGCAAATAATAATTTTGGTACTCAAAAACAAAAGAATCCTAAAGCTAAAACGCATGTCTTATATATATTTTATTATTAATTAGTCGGTCAGTCGATCAATTTTCTCAAGGTCCGGATGGATGGACTCATCGACTGGTCGATTTTTTTATGCTAAATTGACCGTACGCCTTTCACTTTCACTTCCATCGGTCTACTCAAATTTTCAACTATATATGAACACTCCTAATGTTCTCGTTTCTTCTTTCTATTCCATATTTCTAATAGGAAGAAAAATAAAATTGTATGGTCCTATCACTCATGGATTCAATGATAATAAAATAATATTTTTATTTATATTTTGGAACAAATTGGAAATTGGAATAAGAAAAACTTGTTTTTGTTGTTTTGAAAATGTTTACACAATTTTGAGAATGTTTCTAAAAAAAATAAGACACTATAAATATAAATAGTTGTCAAATGTTTAAATCTTTAATAAATTTAGATATGAGAAACTAGAATATTGCTTAACGGGCTTGTTGAATATTTGTGGTTTTATTCTAAATTTCCTCCGCTTGTTCATGTTCCTGCACAAACAAATCTTTGCCCTCACCACATATTCTCTGCTTGCGTGTAGTTAGCAAAGAATAGAGGAATGATTAGACATACCTTAAGAAGTGACCAACTCATAAGTTGATACCGCTCAGGTAGCTAACGAAACTTATTAAACCACCCTAAAAGTCGAGAGACTAATTTATAATTTAACGCAACAATTAATTCACTCCCTGTAAAAAAAATTTGTATGCAACAATAAATGGATGTGAGAATTCGAATGTTCTACTTTTTGGTCAATAATAAATGTGTTGAAATCCATATTTCATAGGTTAATTTAGAAAAGAAAAAAAAACCCTTGGATTTTGCATTTATTTAAAAATATCTCTATCATTTCAAAAGTTCCAATACTATCCTTCACATTTCATAAACGTTTTAAAAATACCCTTTGAGCAAACATCTCTTAATATTTTGATAAAAAAGTTGACGTATCAGAGTTTGGAACGACTTACTTGAAAATTTGCCCTCATTTAAGTAAAGGAAACGGGAAAAATTAGAGAAATTATATTAAATGTTATAAAATAAATATGAATTCATAATAATATAACCACTTTTTTAAAAATGTCACGTTTTTTTAGCCTCATATATGAATTTATAAGTTTGCAATTTATGCCATTTTTAAAAAATTTTAAACCTAATGTTATATGTATATATAAAATACATATTTTTTGTGTGTGTTATTTTTGTAATTCACTCAAAAAAATTACCATTTTTAAAATGGGAGATAAAAGCCGGTTTATACCTAATTTTGCCCAAAATGATATTTTACTTTGTAGGTTGGCTTGAAGGTATTTTTAAGACGTTTAAGAAAGATCTACATAGTATGGAAACTTTTGAAATGATTGAGATATCTTTGAAACGAATGACAAATTTCTATGGTATTTTTTCATTTTCTAAAAATAATTTCACCTATTTAATATTTTAAATGATAGAGATATTTTTTACTTTTGAGTAATTAAGGACGAGAGGTCAAACTCACGACTGTTTAATCGAACATATCTATATGAACACGTACAACATGTAGAGGTGGGATCGAACTCAAAATCTCCAAATTGAAAATGAGTTAAGTTGGTTTTGGCAACCAAAATAAAATGACACAATAATACCTATAAAAAGAAGTTCATAATTGAGAATCTTTATCCAAAAAATAAAAATATAAAAACTAACCCTTAGATTTCAGATGATAAACGTACAACCTAGACCCATACGGCCAAACTGAACTGGGCTTCGCTTCGCATAAATCAACAACGGCGTCCTCCGCTTCTCTCTTCTCCTTCCTTCCATCTTCGGTTCCAATTGCAAAATCGCCGACTTCCCATAGGCGAACAATTTCACACAATCAACCCACGAGATCCCCGAGATCCCTAATTCTTTTTGATCTTTTATTCGTTTAATTCGGCCTCAGAATCAGCGTGAATCGCTTCAATCTCTTATTCTTCTTCTCGCTATGGGAAAGAGAAGAGAGCGTCGCCTCGCTGCTCTCAGTAACGCCGGTCGCCGTGTCAAGCTTGATCTTTTCGCCGAGCCCTCTGGTAGTTTTTTTGTATTTATAAATATTTGTGTTGCATTAGTGCGCACGTCGATGTGCATGTGCTTCTGAATCGTTATTCCCGTATATGGGTTTGCGTTGGTTTCTTTTGAATGTTTTTGTCCTTCTTCGTCTGTTTATTTTGCCATGGAAGCAGAGAATTTTGAATTTGATGTTCGAATAGGAATCATTGAGTTCTTCCGTTTCTTATGGCATGGGGCTTGTTTGGAATATTATGTGAAAATATATTTGGGTATTTGATTTTTAAAAGGTTTTCTTCGTCTGACGTGCGGCTTTATTGACTTGTTATGTAGTCAGAGCTATACATTCTAATTGTTGGTTTCGATTTGTTCTTATTTAAGGTTTTATTTTCGCGATACCATTGCCTATCTAGTCTTCAATAAACATCAATGCCATGCACATGAATATTAGTTGATTCTTCAGTCAGCATTTGAGTGCAAAACGTAATCTAGATGGGTAACTAAAGAAAGAGTGTTTATACGAATGCACCAAAGAGGTTAATTTAGTTTTTATAGGCATTTCATTGATTCACTCTGAAAAGTGTAAAAATGACTATTATTTTTTCTTTTTTTTTTCAATATTTCAGAGATTCTAAGTGCTAATGATAATACATTTTACCTTAGCTGTAACTTCAATTTATGATTTTGGGTATTATGATGACGTATTCATTGCAGCTGATTGTGATTTTAGGATTCTGATCTGGGAGATCAATATAAGATGACTTTATTTTAATGGTGGATGTGTTATTCATTTTTCTAGGAGATTTAGATGGCTCTGATGTACATGAAGATGTTGGAGGAGATATAGATTCAAAACAGACGACCAAGTTACCCAAATCAGCATCCTCTTCAGGTGGGTTCTATCAGTGTTCTTCAAAAGGACTATGTAAAGGGGATATGAGTGCTTCACATTATAATGGTGGATATTTCAAACTTTATGTACAAGACTGTTGTGTTGTTTGCCCCAAGAATTTGTTTTCAGTCTATAGGGTGACTGGTCTTTGGGACACAATTATCAGATCAGGTCGGGCCCCACTGCCACAATGAACTTGTGAATGACTCAATCATTATGCCCTATTTGGTATCATCAAAGCTTTTTGGAGATTTCAACAGGGAAAAATTTTCATCGGTTCGTATGTCTCTGTCTTTAATTTTTCTTTATGCTTCACTGACGTTTTTCTTGGATGTGTAACAGGTGGATGTGATGAAAACATCTTCAATGTTCATAGTGAATTTCATATTTTTTAAATTTTAATTTTTTTTCATGTTTTTAACATTACTAACCTCAATTCATGAACTTTCCAGGAAAACTTTTCTTTGACGTGCTGCTAAGAGACATATGGTTTGGAAAGTCTTTGATGCGAAAGTCTTTTTGTTTTCAGGTCACCAAGCACAAAATCCCTTGCTGTTACTTGAGCAATATAGTGATGATGAAGTTGATGAGGACTTGAATAAAAATTCAGATCATGATGGACAGGATGATTTGTTACCTGACCACAATGATGAGGTATTTTACTCTCTTTTACTGCTTGAATTGCAAAACATGATTACCACTTAAAGAAACTTAGTTTGATTTTCCACTTCATGAAATTTGGGCTTTGGCTCTTGTGAGTGGATTTATTTGTGATTCAATCCCTATCCTCACAAAAATGTTAATTCTACCTTAAATTCCAATAATATTGGGGTTGGAATTTCCAATTCATGTGATAAAATGTTGGACTGAAATACTTTTGCTAGTTTTCTTTTTTTAAAAAAAAAAAAAAAGAAAAGGTGTTGAGATCTTGTTTGCTAGGATGATTAAGGTGTTATCTGATATGGTAAGTGAAAACGGATTCAGAAATTATGAAAACATGAGTAAGATGAAAATATTTTTTATGAATCTTGAAATAAGAATTTAGGTTTGATCCCAATTTGAAGTAAAAATTTGAATACATTTCATGTGTTTTTCCAGCTGAGCCTCACTATCTTCCTTTTTGTTGTTCTTCTATTTCGAACCTAGATCCTCTTTAATATTTTCTCTAGGCATGCACCTTTCTTTTCCTCCACATTCTCTCTGTCACAAGATCACTGTTCCCCTCCTCTTCTTTGTCACAAGACCTGATACATCCTTCTCTTATTTGTTCTTTCTGTCTTCACAACATGACATTTCTCTCTTTGATCAATGACCCTTGAGGGCCTGAGGGGCTAACGCCTGTTGTAGGATGATCGCCGAGTGGCGTTTTGCTCGATTAGGCGAATGCAAGTGAGGGATAAGCTTTCCCTGTTCGCTAGGAGGGAAACTCGGGAAGAGTTTAGGCAGAAATAGATGGTGAAAACCCATTTGGAAACTATTAGTAAAGCGTGCCATATATATTGAGGGACTCCATACCATTCATTATTAAAGCGAAAGCACAACAACGTAACCTTAATGAAAATCAATAAACGGGAATGCGTTTCCTAATAATGAGCAATGCTGGCAATAGCAAATGATTCCTAACCTCATCAAAATAAGAGTATGGCATATCCGACGAGACGGCAATACGCTTGAACCGTACCTGTATCTCTAGGCGCTATGATGTCTTATTATGTGGATCATGTCTTCCTTTTTGGGTTCCAAACCTCCCCCTTCTCTAATAGGGGAAGACCCCTTTTTTTTCAACTTTAGAAAATCTTGATATGTATGTGAACATGTAAGTTATGTCAGTAATAACATCCCCCAATTCCTCGCCTGTTGCTGAACTTAAACTAATTTGACTTGCCCTTTCTATTTGATGTAATGATGTTTGTGCATGTTAACAGAGTTGACTTCTTTTTAGTAATATTATGCTTCATTAATATGCTTGGTTCCAGATTGCCTCTGCCCCTGTTGAGGTTTGTGAGAATATGGATGCAAATGTTGGTGAAGACCATACTGCCCAAAAGGCTATACAAGAGGAGCCAGAGGGAGGTTTTGTTGATTTTTCTGGGAACTCGGAAAGCAGAGATGAAGTAAAAACTGACACAAATACCTTGGGCTCTTTAAGCGCAGAAACCAATTTGGTTCAAACATCTGTTCCTGCAACATCTAACGTACAAGATGCTGGAGATGTTGGTTCAGGATGGCGAGTTGTAATGCATGAGGAGAGCCATAACTATTACTACTGGAATGTTGAAACAGGGGAAACTTCATGGGAAGTACCCGATGCTGTTTTGGCTCAGGCTCAATCCACTCAATCAACCACTGATATTAAAACTTCTACTCAAGTTCCAGAGAACGTTGCAGTCGTTAAACAGGAATCTGGTTTAACTAATGGTGGGAAGTTAGATGCTTTTTCAGCAGAAAGCACAGGTAAGTGATATGTTAATGTCAAATATTGTTGAATTGTTTACATATAGGCCTAAAGTGACTAATGAAATTGAAGGTTGCAAGAATGGTGTTCCAGTATTTGCAAGTCAGGTTTCTGAGGTTGACCAAAGCTATGCTGCCTTCAGTACTTGTTCAAGTGACGTGAATATAACAAAAGCTGGTTCTGATGTTGATTACACCGTAACGAATGATGAACTGAAATCAGGGTTGGATCTTCCTTCACATCTTGTGAACTGGAGTGCAACTTTGTTAGAGAGATTGAATTCATTACAAAAGTAAGGCTTGACCTTTTCACCTCAATTCACCATTTTCTATTTGCAACCTTCGTTCAGAATGTAATTCTTAGTCCATCTATCCATCTATCCATCTATCAAGTACCTTATACATTGGTTTCTTTGTCTAAAAAAGGACGTCAACTATCTTATACGTGTAGGTCTGCGATTGCCTCTTGCTATGGGTTTGCCATTTGTTTTCATCCGTTGAGTGCCTTCACTTTGGCAATCACCTTGACCACCTTACTAGTAACATCATGTTTTGTGAAAATAAAAGGACTCAAATTAATTTATCAAATAGAAACACATTCATGCCAATCCATATTTACCAAGTAATATTATGACTATTCTATTCTCTATTGACAATATTATCTTTCTTTTTTACTTTTAAATAATTACTAAATTCAGCTAGGAGACTTATTTTGTCTCTCTAATTTCTGGTAAGCTAGAAGTTTATCTCTCTAGAGAATATGCTCAACGCTTTGGGAGCAAAATGTTAGGTTTAAAAGTTCAATTTAAAAAGCTGGAGCTGAAGCTTTAAATAATTGCAATCTTTGTCTACCATTGCTTTCTGTTACATTTCATGTGAAGTACAAGCTACATGACTACAAGTTGGTTGACTTATAATATCATCTTGTGTGAGAAAATGCAATGTCAACAACAGTCAAACTTTTTAAACTTACCCCTCTGAACTATATATATTTTTTAATTTAAATATTTGTAAACAAATAAATTTTCATTTAATTGTGGTGAGATTTTGTGTTATGTACCTTAATTTCTTAAATTTTTTTTTCAACAATCTCAACTTCCATCTTATATTAAATGTAGAAATTTTTGGAGGGAAGATTGCCATGAGTTAGAATTCTGACTAAATTCTAGACATTTGTCGAGTTTGAGGTGTAAGATGAATATGGCAAACATTTTGAGGGTATAAATTAGACTAGGTTCTTTTAATGTTAGTATAATAGAGACGTGGAGTTCCTGGTTTTATATCATATTCTTATACTTTACCTGTAAATTGCACTTCAGGTCTGGAGGTCATGAATGGACGTCAAAGTATATATTGGAAACTCACATTAGACTTTCAGATTTCAAGTCGCTGCTGCCCTATAAAACGTCTTTGCTTCCATTCTGGGAACACTCAAAAAGGAAGCTTAAGCAGATTGAAGATGACATTAACAAAGAAATTTATCAGACTGCTGTATCGTCACAATTGGATGAAGCCAAAGCAATTGATATTTCAAACATTGCAACAGAGCAGAAGTTTCAGGAAAGGTCGAATGTTGAGTCTGAAGCAGAGAGAGTGGAAAATGGCATTTCTGCTTTGGAGCATTCTCATTTGCCTGCTGATTCTGCCTTCTTCACACTCCAACGAGATAAAAGCCAAGTAACTGCCATTGCAAATGGAGAAAATATTTCCTCATCTATAGCAATTGATCACTTAGAAAACTCTACTGGTGTGGTTGAGCATGCAAGTGAAGCTGCAAATGATGAAATGGCTTTCAAGAATGGTGTACATTCTGTGGAAGATGTTGATATGGAGGTGGATATGGAAGTTGAAGATGCCAGTTCTGCAGGTAACTTGACAGTGGCTGGTGCATCAGATATGTCCGTTTCTAAGCCATTTACTTCCCTGGAGCAACCACTCCAGCCGGATCTACAAGTCCAACCAAATCTTTCTTCTGGATATGCATCCTTTGTTCCAGAGGACAGCTCTGTAGCACCACCACCACCACCACCAGATGAGGATTGGATTCCCCCACCACCACCTGATAATGAAGATGTTCCTCCACCTCCACCTGATGAGCCGGCTGAACCACTATATCCTCCTATGCCTGCATCTTATACCCAACTTGGGCAGCCTCTTTGTTACACCGAACCATATCAAGTGTCTTATCCTTATGGACATTCTGTCCCTGAAGTCGTCCCTGGTGCAAACTTTTATGGACATCCAGAAGCATGCAATGTTGTTTTGGCTCAAGCACCATTTTACTATGAGGCAGTTCCCAATTCACAGATTGAAGCTGTTCCAATAGTTATAAATGGTGTCATGCCTGAAGGTTATGGAATTCTTCAAGATGCAACAACCTCTCTTCCTATCTTTAGTTCTACAGAGACCTCTCAATTGCACGTTGATTCCTCATCTGTGAGATTTGATGCTTCTCCCTCTATTCAATATGGATCTTCTGACATAGCAAATATGAGTACTGCTTCTGCTGTCACTGAAACTGACAAAGGATGTGGAGAGACCACAACGGCCTCCTTCCGAGCATCTACTTCTGGCTCCCCAACTAATGATGTTCCACCAACAAGTAATGCTGTTACTGAATCTTCAGCTGCTGCTAATACGTCTATAGTTTCCAAGGTTCAACCAAAAGGTATGACATTTTAGCCGTGATTCAAGCTTCTCCAAAGGAGATTCGGGTTGGGGGAGGAATATTTATCGTGTGTACCATGGACTCAGATTTGGTAACATTTATTTGGTACAGTTGGTTTATTTTGTGAGGGAGATTAACTATGTTGCAAGAAAAATTAAAATCAACATCTTGCCAAGCTTGAACCTTCTACTTTCGTTTTAACTTTTCTACTCATGAACAGATACATTGCCTAGTGCTTTACTTGAAAACCTGCCTTCCTATTCAACATTGCAGATATGTTCTCATCTGTTCTTTTGTCTTTTTATGCAGCTCTGCGCAGTAAAAAGCGGACAGTTTCAGTTGCTCCTTCCTTGAGATCGAATAAGAAGGTTTCAAGTTTGTTAGACAAGGTACATGTGTCTGTCGGTTTCATAGATTTATTACCTGATCCTTTTTTGGTCTTTCTGTATGGGTTGCAAAAGAATCATATTTTCGTGGATTTTTTTTCCTTCTATTTACACATTTTGATTGACCAGTGGAAGGCAGCAAAGGAAGAACTTGAAGATGAGGAAGAACCGGAAAATGCTTATGAGATTCTTGAGAGGAAACGAGAAAGGGAAATAAAGGTACAATACAACAGAGTATATATTTATTAATCAAATTTCAAAATAAAGCGGTACAGTCCACTGCCTTTGAGCTGGGTTCTTACCGGTGCTTTTGATGGATGCAGGAATGGCATGCCCAGCAGATTGCCAGTGGGGACGCAAAAGAAAATGCTAACTTTCAGCCTCTTGGTGGCGATTGGTATGGAGCTCAGATTTTGAAATTTTTTTTCCTTTGTCCGACTCCAAACTTCATTTCGTCTTGTGCCTTTCAAAATGTGCACACTGACCAATTGCAAACTACTAATCTGCTTAGAATTTCAAGGGTTTCTTTGGATGTCGGTTTTAAGTTACATTGACTACATTTTTTAGGCGTGAGCGAGTAAAGCGACGGAGAGCTCAATCATCGAGTGAAGCTTCACAATCTCCTGCTGAAGCATCTACAGATGGAAACCAGCAGCCTGATCTGGCAGAAATGTCAAAAGATCTCCCCTCAGGGTGGCAGGTAAATTCCAATATAAACAAGATAAAGTGAATCTACAGGTTAGAATAGAACACGTTGCCATCAAGTCTCGTGCCATGATTCTAACCCAGGACGACCTCTTTTCGAGGCGTCGTGTTACATCATAGCTTTTGATTTCCCTTCTGCTTTCTCAATACCTGTGTGCATAGTCATCTGGTCCTTCATCTTGTCTAATCTTGAACTTGCTTTTAGTAGTACCAGATACTAATTTTCTTGGGTTTCTTCTTTTTGGAACATCACATTTTCCAGGCATATTGGGACGAATCGTCGAAGCAGGTGTATTATGGTAATGTTAACACCTCGGAAACGTCGTGGACGAAACCGAGCAAGTGAGCTGACATTTATAGTTTAATTTGATAGTTTTTATTGGGGAACTTAGGAAGTATAATGTAGAGTAGCGTTTGGCATTGTTATTGTATAGTGTTCTTCACCAGTCTGCTAACTTGTTCTTAGAGTGAACTTACAATTTTGGTGATTGATAGCCCAATCAAATTGTCATTTATACCCCTCTGGATGGTTTCTGTTGTAGGCTTCAGTTAAATTCTTTTTGTTGCCAATTTTCAGTTGATTTCATTGGCCATTTTTGTTTTGTTCATACAATAAATTTATATATTTTTTCCACTTCAAGTAGTAAAACTTATAATCAAAGCCTTGGTGATAATTTTCTGATGTTTTGTTCTCGGTCTTGAAAAGTCTCCCAAATTTTAATTTTTTTTTTAAAAAAGTATTGCATGAAAATTAGAATTTTATAATAAAATATTAAGAAATGTGATGTCATATTTGATCTTGTAATATTTAATTTGCATTCTATAAGTAAAATAATAATGTTTTATTTATGTGCATGGAACGTGTTATGAGTAACGAAAGGAAAAAAATGCTCGTACAAAATCTTAAAATTACTCGTGTTAGTGCATTTTAGAAATGGACTCTTCACGTTAATTTTTTACCTTTTTTTTAAGGCACATAAAATTACAAAGTCCCGCTTTTCCAAAAAAAAAAAAATATATATATATATATATATATATATATATATATATAAAATTATAACATCTCTGATAAAATTTAGATTTAAGAAGAGGCAATTGGGAGCCCATTTGGCGTCGGGCAGCGTTGAAAGCTTTTTTGCTATTTCAACGGGTAATTCACAAAGTTTTTTTTGGGACAAATCAAATAAATAATCAAACATTGGAATAATCGGATTCACAAAGTTTTTTTTTGGGACAAATCAAATAAATAATCAAACATTGGAATAATCGGGTAATTCACAAAGTTTTTTTTTGGGACAAATCAAATAAATAATCAAACATTGGAATAATCGAATCGGTTTGATTCAAAAAACATCCTTTATAATTTTATTATTAAAATAGTTATTTTATTTTATTATATAAAAAATTGAATAATGTAATGTGAATTTATTAAAAAAAATTGTCACTAAAATAAATATATTCAAATAAAAATAAACATTTTTTACGTAATCAACTTAGCTATGCCATCGAAGTGAGCATAGCTCAACGGTAATTGACATATATTCACAACTCAAAGATTGTGAGTTTGATCCCCTCAACATGTTGTATAAAAAACAAAAAAACTTAGTTATGTGGAAATTTGATGGCCAACATCAACTATTGGACACAAAGTCAATTAATTTTGATTATTATGTCAATTTAGTGATGTCAATTGGGATTTATGACCCCAATAATTAATTTTCGATTTAGTTGGAGATATAAACTTTAATGAGTTGAGCTATAATCATTAGTTATAGACTTTACAAATTTTCATTTATATTTTTTAACTTCCAATTTTGATTACAATAAATTCATGCATCAATGTATTTACTTGAATATGGATGTGGTATTTTGAGTAGATGATCAATAAAATTGATGCAAATATGACTAATAAATCAATTTAAAATGTATCTCTCTAGCCACCCAACCACGTCATTTTTAAGTAAAAAGTATTTACTATAAAGACGTAAAAATAAAGACCGATCAAAGTTCGACAAGGCTAGATAAACACAAATATTAAAAAAATATAAATATAGCTCAATTGATTTAGGTATCTATCTGATCAAAAGGTCGTGAGTTCAAATCTTTACTCTTACATGCTGTAATAAAAAATAAAACTATCCTAATTCATTAATTGAATTTGTAGTTTAATTAATTCTACCTCATCGCAAAATCTTGTATATATTAGAATACTAGTTTGATATTTACTTTCATCGTTAGTTTATTTTGGTCTTTATATTTTCAATTTTAATTCATTTTGATCTTTGAACTTTCAAAATGTTCGTTTTAGTCATTGTAACAATGACTTTAAATTAAAAGGTTCATGTATATATATAATTTATATTAAAATTTTGAAAATAGGGATAAAAATAGTCACTTTTTTTTAGAAGTATAGAAACCAAGACGAAGATTTTGAAATTAAAAGACCAAAATGAACATTTTTTTAGAGTAAATAGAGGGATCAAACTAGTACGGTAACCTAAAAAAAACCAAGATTAGGTCTTGGAGTTCGAAATCAATTCCGAGTTTTTATTAAATAATAACTACATTAAAATTTAAAACAAAGGGTTTTTTTTTTCTCTTTTATATAAAATTTAAAGACTTAACACTAATATGAATTTATGAAACAAATTAAAGTTATAAAAGAGACCAAAAAAGTTGAACCCTCGTCGTCATCTTCCTTTACAAACATACACCACTCCCACTCAGATTTCAATTTTCAGATACACTCTCCAACAAACAAACAAAAAAAAATGGTAGAAAAGAAGAACGAAGAATCAACAACGAAAGGGAAGAAAAAAACACAAGAATTCGCAGAGAAAAAGTTGACGGAAACCACGATATTCGATGTTCATTTTTCCGGTGGAAGAAGAGCGATTCAAGGGGAGTAGGGGCCGACGACTTCGGCGGATTTACGGGCCAACTCGGAGAGATGGGAGCCGACGGAGACGCCGCGGGCCAAGCCGGAGTGCCTGTGGTGCCGGCAGCGGAAGGATCCGATGTGAGTGGTCGGGGAGCAGAGGCAGTTGCCCTTCGCCGGAGAGGAGCCCTTCGTCGCCATGGATTGCGATTGCGATTGCGACGGGGACGACACGATCAGGTGAGGGCTTCGTTTCAGATCCTCCAAACTGAACTCTGAGAATGTCATTTTGCCGTTCATTTGGTTTCTGTCGTTAGGTCTAGGGGCCTTGCGATCTGGTTTATGATCCATGGATTGATTGATTTGTGAAGAACAAGAAGAAGTGGAATTTTAGGGTTTGTGTGGGATTGATTTTGATTTTGATTTTGTTTGTGCTTAGGGAGAAATTGGGTTGAAGGAAGAGTTTTTGGGAGAAATATAAGCAAATTTTGACATTGGTTGTGAATCCCTCGAGTTTTGGTGTTTGGGGAATCCACAACCTCTTGTTTATTTTTAGCCTTTTCATACCACTCTCCTTTTGTTTAAACAAAATATATCCGTTTATTTTGATTATTGTATTTTATTTTATCCATATACTTAATTATTTTAAAAAAAGTTACCAAAGAATGGTGCTAAAATGTTGATCGAAATAAATGAGATAAAAAATAAAAATGAAACGATCAAAATGGTCAATCTTCAATAATACGAGACCAAAACAAATACTTTGAAATTACAAGAACTAAAATAACAAATGTTTCGAAAGTCCAGACCAAAATAAGAATTCGAATATCTGATATTATAGTATATGCCTTAAGAAATTAGGTTTAAATTAATTTCAACTTTGGGTTGAGTCCTAAACTTCCTCATTTAAAGCTTCTGCCTTCACACACATGAACTTAGCCCAAGATAAGCTCGATATAGTTAATTATGAAACTAAATGTTGAACTCAGTGGAGAGAGTCGAGATCTATTAAATACAAAGAACCATATAGTATAATACGACTTTGATAGTTCAAAATTTTATAGCTAAGACATCTAATCTTTCTCTAATTTAAATCTCTACTCTCATATTGGTTATACTAAAAAACGATTTTATTAGACAATTTTTAAAGTATAAATACTACCATTTCAATTTTTTTTATTCTATTCTTACAGTACTTTGGTTCTTGCATATTAGTATATCGTTGATAGTTCAATTTTTGTCCATTCATATTTCAATTACAATTTAGAGGCTACTTCAATAGTTAAAACATTCAAAGGTTCAAATTTCCATAAATCTTTCCAATACAAATAATAAAAAAGAAAGCCATCCAATATTTTAAATGTTAAATGTCAATGTTGATAGAAAATTTGAGATTTCAATTTTATGAAAATACTGATGAAAATATCGATAAAATGTTGATATCAATACGTATTTCTAGAAAATTTATAAAAATAAACAATTAATAACAAATAAACATTTCACCTTTGTTCTTTCAAATGAGTTAGATCCATATCAGTGATATTTTATTGATATTTTTTTATACTCATGATTTTTTGCAATATTATGAAAATGTTGATTCATCCTAATGTCGATGTCGGACCTTATAAAAACGTCGATAGAAATTTAATACCCTGGTGCTATCTAAAAGAATAATAATAATAAAATAAAATAAAATTATAAACAATATGTTTAGAGCTAGAATTTCAATGGTTACCTCCAAACGGAACGTTTCAGATATAACATACTAGAGATATGTGTTAAAGTACAGCTAAAAAGATGGGGCACCTGAGAAAATTCTGAGACTTTAACTAACCATAAAGTAATCAAAATAACATAACTCATTCCAGATTTATTCAATATTCCACTGCAACTCTTCATCATTATTAGCATGCATCAACCAAGCTGTTAAGCAGGAAAATACCGTATACAGGGACGGGGCGGGCGACAGTTTTCGGTCGATGTCTTTCTCTCTGTCGTTCTTTACTTCTGCCTCTTGTATATCTTTGCGAGGAAAGATTTCAACACTGCTTGTACTGCACCACTTGGATGAACTTCTATGGCTTTTATAAGCCTATTGTAACTTTTGCTCTCGAACTCGACAAATACCCCCTGCAAGAAGGCCAAAAGTAATAAGACCATATCAATAATCTCGTTAAAATGTTAAATGATTAATTCACTGCAACACATAAAGTTTAAGTTTTTGGGTTGAATGGTGATTTAACATGGTATCAAGACAGAAGTCTTGTGTTAGAACTTCTGTAATGTTTCTTCTCCAATTAATATTGATAACCACTTGTTTGGATCTTATGAAAATTTTCAAGTCCAGAAGTGAGGGGAGTGCTAAAACGTTGATAAATGATTAAATTCGCCGTAATGCTTAAGCTTTTGGGTTTATTAACCGTAAATCAGAGAACAGAACACAATATCTATCTGAAGTTCTGAAACCAAATGGCAAGGTATTATAATTGACTCTGTGTAAGTATCCTATAAAATTATGAGAAATGTTTGGGTTAAATATGAAGGCAGGAAACAGAACCTCTAGATTGAGGGCTTTATATAACTCTTTCACTTTGGCAACACAATCTTTATCTGCTTTCCCATAGTTCTCCTGTATAAAAGCACAAATTACCATCATTTTTCTTCAGAAATCTAAATTTTATAGAGAGAACATGAAGTTCCTCACTTACATGTAGTAAAGTCTTCTGTTTCTCATCACCAAGTTCTAGTGCTTTCACAACCAACCAAGAGCACTTGAAATCTTCAATGTCTGTTCCAATCTATAATTCCAATTGAAAGTCAATAAAGTCAAGACCCTATACGAAATAATAGCTCCTCGTTGAAGTACTAGATCGCACTACGTACCTTCCCGATCACATCAGGATGACCGAAACAATCCAGATAATCATCCTGCAGAAAAGAGGAATATCATGCTTTTTTTTTCCCTTCTTTAGTTGAGAAGATGAAAGAGCAAAATAGAAAAAGCGATCTAGAAGACAGGCCCGAGCAAAACAAGGGAGGCAAGGCATCCCTCAAATTGAAACGAAACGTAATCTTTTTTGGGCGACTTCCTAAGCAATCTTAAACTAGGAATTTTCAAAGAAATAACAAAGTACCTGCACTTGGAAATAGATTCCCATCTCAATAAGAATATTCTTGACATCAGTATGATTGTCCAAATTTTCACCTGCCATAAGTAATGCACATGCAACCTAGTGTGGAACCAAAGCGGTGATGTCAGAGTAAATTTCTGAATTCCACAATATACAAGAAATTCCGTAAAACAAAAGAGAAATGTAGAAATATTTGTAATCATTAAGTTCAATCAGAAGTTCATAGGCAAATCGATTTGAGCGGTATATGTATTATGCAAAAATAAAAACTAGCATAGTGCATGTAAAATCACACTCATACTTCTCAATCAAATAAAGCATGGAATTTTTATGCCAAGTTATTAGAGTTTCTTTTTGGCCTTTGAAGATTTTCTTCCCCTTCACCTAATATCCACATAGTTTTTGTTAAATTATGTGTTTCTTTTCTGCATTTCAAAAATTGTTTTCCCCTCCACTAAAAAATCCACACATTTTTACTGTTTTCATTATAATATATTTTTTTTCATTTATTTTTTTGATATCCGTGAGTGTTCAAGCCAGCTTGAGCGCATATCGACTAATCTTATGGGACAACCGTCTGACTCTACTACATTTGGTTACTTTTTTTTCTTTTTCTTTATATAATGTTCGGGTTAGCTTGCACATACCTTGACTAATCTCACACGACAATCTACCCTACTACATTTAGTTGCCAAGAAAACTCATAAGGGTAGGTGGCATCATTTGTTTTATAAGCTAAATAAGTCCCTTTTACTTGATGTCCGAACCAAAAATATAGAAAAAAATTCATACTTATAGCTGAAAAAAGTATAATTGCCTTCCTTCCTGGAAAGAAACATCTTTCCATGATAAAGATTTGTATAAAAGGCTATAGTTGACTTACCGGAAGGTAGAATGAGTAATATGCAGTTTTGTACTGAACAATACGATGATGACTGCACGAAAAGCTACCCAGTGAATGCTTGCTCACAGAAAAAGAACAATTTTGTTAAAAAGTGAATTACTCACTTACAGTGGCAATGAGTACTTTGATAGATCTTTCTCTCCTTCTAGTGTGGTAATTAAATCTATCATCTGTCCTGAGGCTGTTTGAAATTCCACCTGAATCAATCATACTTTATTAGACAGAGAAAATACAAGGCCTTGCTCAAAGGTAGTCTCAAAGATAACCACCTCATTAAACAAATCCAAAAGATCCACGTAATAAGGCTTTTTTCTAAAATGGTTCTTGAGAATTCTTGGGATATGGTTCCGTAACATTATGCCATCATTTACGGCAATCATACCGATCTACAATTTGAAAATAAGGGGTGGGTTAAGGCTGATACACAATTATAAACATGGTTTTTAATAACTGTCTAGCAAAGTAACTTGGTCTCACTAAAATTCGCACCTTAGGTAGCCTGAACCAGCAAGGCTGTCCACGACGTGTAACGGAATTATCCATGATATCGTCGAGAACAAGAAAATATGCTTGAAGCTGCGAGTGATTGAAATTCCAGAGAAATTAAGAAAAATCATCATAATAATCATATAATGATTTACAACCACAAATAAGAGGTACCAAATAGCAATACCCATTCAATGCACCAACCAAGTGCAGACGCCAGGAACACTTCATCATCACTTAGCTTTTCCCCTTGTTTGAGTAACTTATAGCTATCAATGACAGAGAGTCCTCTGTTCAGCTTTCCTGCAAAAAGGAAAAAGAATTTAAAAACTATCCATTTTGCTGAATGTTAAATGCTCTTTAGGTTCTTGCATGCAATATGAGTTTCTATCACACCTCCTGGTACATTGTAATCAAGCATCTGCAATGAAAGGAATATGCAAACTCATCAGGATTAACAAAATATTAGCAACTATAGGAGAAGGAAAGGAAATATGGAAATAGATATCCAAACATATAAAAACAATAAAAACTTTCATATGAATGGAAACATTATGATGCCACAAATCAAAAGACAAGGAAAGGCATGGTATAAGCCCTAGCTTCACGGATAGGCATCGCAGACTTGTTTTAGAGATGCTCCATGAACACTCTGAAGGATACCGGTGCAAAACTAAGCATATATAACTGGATGATGCAACAAGAAAACACTCATCTTGGAGTCAATTCGGTGCATGAGATAAACTACTAACCGTGAAGGTCTTATTTTAAAAGCAGACTCAAGCAAATATCAACATGCACAAAATAGCAATAGGCTGTCATTGGCATTACTAACAATACAATCAAAACATCATCAAAAGTGATCTAATGTCTTCGACTTTTTTCGCAAAGAAGTATGAGTATCTCAAAGATATGAACAATATACGTTGTAGTTTATTAATGTCAAACTTTCATGTCATATGAATTTTACTTTTTAGAGTATTTTTGAACAAATGAAAACATTTCCATGATCACAAGGATGATTTACAAAACCATGACAGATTATTCTGCATAAACATGCTCATATTTCATAGTAATACATAGAATACTAAGAAAAAACACGGCGGCCATAACAAAAAGAAGAAGAAGAAGAAGAAACAAACAAAAAAAGACAATGTAGACTTTCCATCTGCAGAATTGCTGGCTAACATTAACCGAACGGCAGAGGCTCCAGTCAATTCAATTATCCCACTATAATTAACTCCCAGTGAGTTCCAACGAACAAAATGTCACCCTACTTAGTCAACTACACAATTATCTACCAAATTCCCGGTCAAATCATCCAACAAGAACTCAATCCCTCCATTCCTTCGACAAAATCTTGGATTCATTGACTAAATTACCAAGTTATTCACTTATTTCCGACGTTCTATAACCACATGTCCACACAAATCAATCAAACAAACAAACCCCAGTTCACAAAAAGCAAAAACAAGAACCACATTACATCCCCAGTGATCCGAAAAGCTCAGCCCCACCCAGAAGCACGAAAATCATGAGAAAATCGAAAAATCATCAGGAAACGCAGTTGGGGTAAATTAGAGAGAGAAATGGGAAGTACCCGCTCGACCCATTGGCGCGAATCGTCAGTGAACTCGAAAGTAGAGTCATGGAGGAGCTCGGATTTCAAGACAGAGTAAACCTCCAAGAATTTGGACCTGAATTCGCTCATTTTCCCGCAGGGAGGAGAAGATTGGGTAAGAAGAGAAAGAATTTGTGGACGAAATGTTAACTGTGAAGGGAATTTTGGCGGTAGTTTAATACGCAGTGAGGGGGAGAGAATGCGTAATCTCGCGCATGTTGAATAGTGTCTTCTTCTCTGTTCAACGTTTATTTTAGCAGCTCTGGATTTGACTCTTTCGATTCATGGCCATGGGGAATTAAATACGAATAATCAAATTAGAGGAAGATTAATTGTTACCCAAAAGCAAACCATTATTTTACATTATTGCCCCTCTAGGGCAATTCCGAAACCAATAATTTGCTCACGGGTTAAGTTTGTATAACTTTGGAGTATAAAAGGTTGAGCTTCTATTTAATGTTTTGCCAATTCGAACAGGTTAAAATATCTATTATTATTGTTAAAGATGAATAAATCATCCCTTGACACAGAAGTTTAAGTTGATGAGTTGGTAAATTTAATTCATTTATAAGTATCTCAACAACTATTTTTAAAGGGATGATAATTTACAAATTTGGGACGATGATTGAATAGTAGAGCTGTTACTAATTCTTCTCAAGCTAATTTGATTACATAAGTTTAGGCTTGTTTGCAAATTGCCTACTAAAACTTGTGAACTAGCCCATTACAACCCAATTTGATGGATGAAAATAAGGAGAGGTTGGAGAAACGTAAGACTTGTTTGGCAACCTTCTCATTTCTTGTTTCTGGTTTCCAATTTTTTTTAAGAAATCTAAATATTTTACAATTAATTAATTTTGTTTCTTGTTTCTTCCTTTTTTATTTTTTAGAAAATATTGTTTTATCATATCTAGAATGTTTAATTAACAGTTTCATATAAATAGATGTACGAGACATTTAAAACATGTTGATAAATTTGAGGAAATGATTCGAACCAGAAAGATAACCATATTGATCGATTGATGCTCAGTTTGGCCAAAAATAGAAATTTTAATTAAAAAAACATATAAGAGGTTAAGATTTGGGTGATGTCATGTTCTGAAAGGGTATTGTTGTAATATAAGTAATTAATGGAGGCAATTTGGTAAGATAAAATAGTGGAGAACTACTTCTACTTGCAATTGCAAATCAAAACGCGGCAGCTTACGTCATTAATTTTTATTTTTATTTTTTACTTTTTTGGAATTGCTCCAAATTCCAAACCGATAATTTAAATTTAAACGTGGGAAGCTATTAAATTTCAGTCCAGATTTTCATACGGAGTTCGGTATTAATATAACGGTTTCTTTGACTTTTTAATTATATCGTAAAAAATCCACGAAATGTAAAAGAGAATACTATTTAAAAATGATAATATACTTATTTATTAATTTAATAATATTTAGATATACTAAAAGTTAATATTTATTTGATTCATTTTCATTTTTATTTCATTTTTTCGATGTTGTTTTAGCATGATCATTTTCGTTATTTTCATTTAATGACACTTCAATGATTAAATTTATTGAGATGTAATCATAAATGTTAAATAGCTTCCATTTCGTATATAATTTGTATTTAAATTTTGAATATAGGAACTAAATTAATCATTCTTTAGAAGTATATTGCTCACAACGGACATCTTGAAAGTACAGTAACTAAATTGTATAAAAGTTAAAAGTACATAGAGTAAAATGGACAATTCTAAAGATCAAAAGGAACCAAATCTAAAAATTTACCGCAACCAAAATAGCATCTAGACATAATTTTTATGAATTTGTTGGTTTTCATAAATTTTCCAAAAATTTTCATCGTGAAAACTCGATATTTCCATTGACATCGACATTTAAAATTTTGCGTGGAGATTAAAATTTATGAAAAATGTTAGATAGAAATACCAATAAAGTATCACATATGAAATTATAAAACTATGTTACATTAAATGAATTAAAAGTTCTTATAGTTAGAGTATTTTATCTTATGATATTTTCAACATTTTATATATTTTGTTGATATTCATTCTCCTATAATGAAAGTATTGGTTAACCCCTCATATCAAAAAATGCTATTTTTATATATGATAATCCAGAGATATTATCCCTAATTCCTTAGTTAGGCAAGATTATGAAAATAAATAAATAAAAGAAATTAAGATTTTATAATTTTCTCAATGTTCTATCTCATCAATTTTTAGAATATAAAGATTATATATTAAAAAGAAAGTTAGAAAGTAAAAGTATATTAAAAAAATATATATACTGCTGGGCTCCAGTAAACGTGGCATACTTTAATTGGCTTATTTTTTATTATTATTTTTTAGTAGATTCAAGATGTGCACTTCCGTAGCTGATAATTTCTCCTCACCTAATTTCCCTAGAAATTCACGCCTTATATCAATTAATTATTTTGACAAAAATGCAACCTATCGCCAAAGCAACCCTTTTTTTTATTCCAAAATTCTATATACTATTTTTTGTCTCAAAATATATTTATATAAATAATACTTACGAAATACTATTAAAAATCTGATAGTTCTGAAAAAAAATATATATATATATATATATATATTTTTTCTGATCAAAATTTAATAATGATCGAGAAATAAATAGTGTTGTTTGGTTAATACCTCAGTATTGTTCTACTTATATTATATGTGATGCTACTAATATTTATTATTATTATTTTTAAAATTATTGAAATCTTAACTTCCACGTACCAATATTATTTAGTTCAACATTCAATTATATTTTATTTTGAATGCAAAAGACTTCCTCTCCTGAATTATTGTTTATCTAATACTTTGAAGTATAATGTTTGAATGACTAAATATACATCATTTAGTTCCTAAAGTGTGGTAAGATTTTTCAATTTCATTCATAATGATTTAAATTTGTCTTCTATATTTAAAAATTTCAATAAAATACGTACTTTAATGGGTTTATCTAAATATTCAATTTCAGGGCGAATCCAAACTTTTAGCTAATTAATTAGGTAACACAGTTCCATTTAGTAACTTTTTTTTGTTCCTATTTCTCATTGGTTGAGAAACAGATATATTTGGTAATTCATTACGTTTTTCATTTCTAAATTTTGAGAAACTTTTCCAAAAAAGGGGTCAAATTTTAGAAATTAGTTTCTTTCTTCTCGTTTCCGCCTTTTTATTTTTTTATTTCTTGTGTCCCGTGGCTTTATTTTGAATAATATATTTTGTGCTCATTGATCAAAATTGAACTTTGGTCTGGTGGTGCTGGTTCATGCATACATAGAAATTCCATGACCCCCTCTATTACATCCAAGCCAACCTTAGTTATGGTTAGCAAATATATTCCTATTTCTAATTTTAAAAATTAGAAACGAGAAACGAAACAAAGTAAACGGTAAAAATAGAAAATGGAAAGTAAGAGGTGAGAATGTTACCTAACAGGCCCTAACTTACAAGTGTTGAGCCAATATAGCCTAAATCAAAATAGTTGTTTGGGACCATCAGACTCGAGTACTAGTCGAGCCTAGACCCATATTTTTCTGGTTCAAGCCCATGACTCAATGAAATGGCAAATTTCAATTCCGATCCTGAGATTTAAACTTAGTTTCTATTTGGTCCATAAGGTCTAAAAGCTCATACTTTTAGGCCATAAGGTATCAATTTGATATCCATTTAGTTGAGATGAATTAACTTTTAGTCTACCTAATTGAAAGACATCGTGATAGTTAACATAGCAATTAGAATTTGAACACGCAGACTACCTAACAACACTAGGTATCTGCCAAAGCGAGCACAGTTCAATGGTAATTGACATATGTCTCAAGAACCAAGAGGTTGTGAGTTCGATGAAAAAACGAGAAAAGTTGTAAATTAATTATCGAAAAGTTGGGTCGTTGTACGAGATGAATGAGATTACCGATTTTTAAGGGAGATTGATTTCCAAGTTTGAGATATGTTCTACCAATTGATATCATTCCTACATTTCAATAAATATGAATGAATTTTTTATTTTTATTCCCTCGAAGTAGAAGACCTTAAAAATGAAATCAATTTTTTATTTTTAACTAGTAGGAACATAATTCATATCTATCCTTTTAAAACGGTTTTAAAACAAAGTAGTAATTGTTAAATAATATAGGTTCTTGAAATATGTTGATGAATTGTTGATTTTTGGTAGGTAGCTTTTAACGAAGATGCAAAACGCTTCAACTGTTGAACTATGCTCATGTTGGCAATATTTCTATTGAAGTCAAATTTCTTAAAATTGTCATATTAATGTGAATAATTTCGTTGACAATGTATGAACAAACTTATTAGTAAAAATATGTTTATTGCTATGATAATAATGTTGGGTTTTAAATAGAATTGAAAGGCAAAAACTAGATATAATTATTAGATTGATTAAATGAACTATTATTATCTTTGTTTGGTCAATCTCCCCTACCTACAAACTACAAAGAACCTTGTTATTATCATTTCATAGTATTAGTCTAACTGTGACACATTTTTTCTAGTACAACATCGGGAGGCGAAAGATTCAAACTCACAATCTTCTGGTTGGACATAGGTATTTAACCTATGCCGAACTATGATTGAATATCTAAGTATCACACATCGGTTTATTCATATCTATCCTTGTTTAGGGCAGGTATTTGTAGGTCCTCATCTCTACCAAAAAAAAAAAAAAAAAACTCCTTGTGTGGTTGTAGGCAAAGTTTGATAATAAGTATAATCTCGTCTCACATCTCATCGTTAAAAACGCGAGAAGAAAAAAACTTTGGAACAATCTTTGAGAATAAGAACAATTTCAACTACAAGAGCAACAAAAAGCAAAAAGCAAAGAATAATATACTTACACAAACGTGGATAAAGTAGAATCCAAGAAATTTCTCACAATTCAAGAGTGGAGACAGAAAATTTTATTCATATGGGTATAAGGGCAGGCCTTGAATTCACAGGTAATATGTATATATATACACATATATTGCCTTTTAAGGCAAACTTAGAAGTGAGGTCTCATATTGCTTCTATTAGTAACTTTTGTAATTTACTCTCAGCAGTGAACTCATTCAAGAAACCATGTGAAAATGGAGAAATTCTCAGTGGGTGGGGGCAAAAAAAGTGATTTTTGAAGTGCTTTTTTCTATCTTTGAAGTTGTTGCTTACAGAGAGGGCAGGAAGATGTGATAGCAAGCCACTTATCTACACACTTGAGATGAAACAAATGGGAACAAGGCAACTGTCTTACTTCTTCTTCATCTCTGTACTTCACAAGGCAGATGCAACATTCCTAAAAAATGGCAGAGCAAAACAAATTCAGAACATGATTAAACCATCAAGAAAAGGATGCACGCTCTTGTTTTGAATCTTGTTTTGGTTCTTGAACTTTCGTACTTATTCTGTTTCGGTCTCTGAGTAAAAGACTATTCTAGGCCTGACCGTTAATTTCTCATTCATCATTTGACAAAAACTTGAATACATCTAGAACTCCCAGCACTGGTTGTTGTAGATGTCTTTTGTTCAAGTAAATGAACAAATTATGTACCTAGGCCAGGTTTCAGTTAATTATTTTATTAAAAAAGTTAATAACAATGGATAAAACAATTTCTGTCTAAATGTATCAAATGGTCCATAATGTTTTGGGAAATTTTCAATTTCGTCATTAATCTTTTAAAATTCTTGATCTTACCTCTAATCTATTACTCAATTCGATCAAGATTGTTTACAAAATGTTGATGAATTATTAAATTATTGTTTTGTTAACATATCAGAATACATGAATATTCTGATGCTACTTGACATATGAAATTTGAGTTGCTTGGTCAAATCTATTTCTTCCAATCGACAAACTCATGATCAAATATGTTAGTTGTTACTAAAACAATAATTTAATGAGACATGAGCTTTTTGTAAACATATCTTAACAATTTTTTCTCCAACGAATAAAACTGAGAATTTCAAAGTATTAAGGGACAAATTAAAATTGATTAAAAGATCAGGAACCGTTTGATATAAGCCATGATGCTTTCGTGTAAAGTTGGTAAATTAAAAAAATGTTTGAAAGTTTATGGACGAAAATAGAAGAAACATGAAATTTCAGGGATTGGGATTTAAACCTATTCTCTTTTGAAAACATAAAAGGTTTTAAAGGTACATATGCTATGCTTTACTTACTGGATCCTCTTTTGGAAGTCCCTTGTTGCTATCAAGTTGCTTTGAGCTTGCTTTATATCTCCAGCAAGGTAGCTGGGAAATTTGATCCTCGGACGCGCCTTTGTCGGTCGACGCTGTGTTAATGTTATATCCTAGAAGGCCACTAATCAACGGCACACAGCAACATAGCAGCAGAAAAAGAATGAATGGAAAAGAGTAGCAGATGGCATTCCAAACCAACAGGAAGACACATAACAGATGAAGCTTGGGAGCTCTTTGGAAAGAACTGAAGCGAGAATCGACGATCCAGACATTACCCATTACGAACCATATTGCAAAGAAAAGTTCGAGAGATGATCGACATTTGTTCATCAAACGCAAGCTCCTGCAGCAGAAGTTGTGAGTTCCAAGTTTTTTAGAGAAAGAAACAGAAGTAGCGTACTCTTTTGTTCTTCCACTTTTAGCCAACTCCCTAGTCTGCTCTGAATCTATGACTTAATATCATGCGCTAAAATATTATAAAGAAAGAATGATTCTAAACTTCATTTTTTAGAATCCATTTTAAACCTTCTCCCATTGAGTTTTGAGTATTGCTAAGTAAAATACCTTGATGCTTGACTGCTTCTCCGCTGCTCAGTATCAGAAAGGCTAACACGATCTCCACGCATTGGATAAAGATGCGAAAAGCGGCCATATAGAAGCAACAAACTAAGAGCGCAGCCAAGGTCATAACCAACAATCCACAATCTCATAGGCCAAACTGGCTTCTCAGCCTCTGAAATGGCAAGAAAAAAAAAGGTGATGGCCAGCTGAAACACCATAGCGACCAGCTCCATCGCCATCCATGAGCTAGAATTGAAAGGATCAGACCCGAGATCTGTTCTTGATCCGTTCTGGTAGTGAAACACCCTTCTTAAGAAAACAAACCACCTGGCTCTAGACACTCTCATGGCCGTCCGAACCCAGAAAGATGCAGGGAGAGCAACAGAATTGTCGTCTCTAACAACCGCAGCAGCACCATCTTCTTCCGCCAACGAATTTGATATAAAGGAAGCAGTGCCGCCGCAGTTACACAACGGACCCGAAATGAAATAACCAGAACTGATCATTGGAAAATGATATTTCCTCCTTATCTAGTACAACACAAAAAAAAAAAAAACACCTCGGACTTAGAAAACAGAGTGTTTCTCATGGAAATTCAACAGCCAACTAGAAAATCATGGCAGCCAGCAAAACCCCAGAACTTCTCCCCACAATGATCAAAAGGAAATAAAACACGTATTGGGTGAATCAAAATGATTCAAATTCATGAAAATTCCAAGTCCCAGCCATACGGGCATTCAGCTAGGCAAATCATCAAACACCATTCGTGCACAAAATCAAAACACTTACTCCAACCACTCGGAGGCCAAACTTATCAGCCGTCACAGACCAGAGCCACCAACTCAGCAACCCGGCAATCTCTAAACAAGAACATCATCAGTTCAATTCAGTTCATCGTCAAAAAAACTTCACAAGTCAGAAACCCGGCACTTGGGTTTTAAGGGGCATTAAGGAAAGGGAGAAAAAAAGAAGGAAAAGAGAGGATGGAAGAGTAAATAGAGGGAAACAGGCAAAGGGGAGCTTTCGAAAATGGTGGAGAATTGGGTGCGAGAATTGGGAGAGGGACTGGAGATCAAACGAAGGGGTGGGTTACTTTGATTATAAGTGAATCAGAGGTTTTTTTTGCTTGTTTTTTGTGGGTGGTGGCGTCAAGGATTGGGATTGGCCAAACTTTGTTCCTGGTTATTGTTAAGAAAGCAAGCAAAGGAGCCAACAATCGACCGTTTCTTCAACTGTCGAACCGCAAATCCTCCCCTCCATCTTTCAACGGCTTTCCTTCATTAAGAAATTTAAACCATTAAATATATATAATATATGATGGGAATAAAAGATGGGAAAATTTAATTGCCCATTTTTAATTTGAACTTTTAATTTTATTAGAAAAATAAGTGAGGTAATTAATATCTTTATTAAATTGTTTGACTATAGACATTCTTATAGTTTGATAAGATTATTTTTTGAAAATACTTGACTAGCAACTTATTTCTTACCACAATTAAATATCTCAGAATTAAAAGAGAAATGCAAAAATTAAAAAATTAAAAAATAATAAGTTATCAAATATTTAATGATGGTAATCAACTCAGCCCAATCTTTTCTATTATTTTTGCCGGTTTGTGAATAAGTTTGAGTATTTTCATAACTGGTTTAGACATTTCATTGGCGTGATTTTAAGTTGTTTAAATTATTGAATTTATGATTTATTTGGTGCATGAGAAATTTTTCGAATTTCAATAATTATTCAAATTTAGGTTATAAAAGGATGAAATTGAAAATTTTGATTCGCTCAAATGGTTAAAAATTGAACTTTTTTTAAAGATTTTTTTTTTCTTTTAAGAAAATGGTAGTTATGTCATGAACTTCTCTTTTCGTGGTAAGAACAACTTAGAAATCGTTTATTAGAATTTTTATTTATATTTTTTTGTTTCTATTTGTAAAACTATGTCCATGAAATAAAAATTTTAAAAATTAATTTATTTTATATTTATGTATTTATTGGGTGAAGCCCATTTTATTTTAAAAGTTTTAATTCTTTTTATATAGAAGCTTAAATTTAAATAATAGTGAAATTAATACTCTTCATTAATTGAGTTTCATTTTTATATTATAAAAGATATCCTTGTAGTTTCTCTAAATAAATGTCATTTTTTCTAACATGTGGGATGGAGATTCGAAGACATTTTGGTCAAGAATATATGACTTAACCAATTTAGCTTTATTTATTTATTTATTATTATTATTATTATTATTATTATTATTTTGGAAATATATGACTTTTATAATCATTACCAAACCAATCATAATTATTCTTAAAAAAACTCTAATTGAAAGCTAATCCTAAAACAATCCCTAATTACCAAACCAATCATAGTTATTCTTAAAAAAAAAAAACTCTAATTGAAAACTAACCCTAAAACAATACCTACAAATATATACCCTTACAAGGTTTTGGAAAATGAAAGCTTATGTAGGTTCCTAGGTAGATTCAATTTAATGAGAGAGAGGAAGAAAAAAAGGTTATTAATTTACTAAGTATGCTAATTTATCTAACTTTTTTGTGGTTATCCATCCATTTGGTTTTAGTTTATGAAGCTTTACCTAATTAAAAAATGTCAAAATTTTTTAGAGTTTCACATTAGAGGACCTAACAAAAGTTGGATCCCAAATTAAGATTTCAAAAAGTACAATGACTAAAAATAAATTAAAAAAAAAGTGAATCAAGTTACACCCTTTATTATGGGTTTTGCTTCAAAATCGTTAATAAACAATTCTCACACGTGTGGATTGTTTTACCCGCAAGATTAACAAAATATTAGAGGGAAATGTTGGAATCAAGTGGGTTATACTTCGCTCAAAAAAAAAATATATCCTCGATTATGATTCTGTTTGAAAATCGTTAATAAAAAATTCTCATACGTGGTAGAATCTTTTAAATGCAATATTAACGAGATCTAATTAAGATGCAACAAACATGGTTTAAGGTTGTAAAGATTTAAAAGTCATATTTTAAACTTTTTTTTTTTAATGAAGTATAAGTCGTTGGAGTTTAATGTTATAATTATTACGATTGTTAGTACAAGAATTTGAGTGGTGGAGAATCATTTTCTTTAACAAGAAATTTTGATGTTGTTGCCAAAAAGAAAAATCGTTAAATTTAAAACTATAGGTATAATGTTGATCTTGATATTGATTGCCTGTTCTAACTTCTAACTTGGTTCATAAATCTGTGTTTTGAAGGTTGGAAAGGAGAGGATTCCTACTCAAAGATTAGATATCCTCTAATCTTTTCATGTAACAACATTTGTTTGATGTTTCAACTAGTTCAAGGATTCAAAGTTCATTTGCTATCGATATCGTTCCCCAAAAAAAATTTGAAAGAAAGAAAAACATGTTTCAGTTGAAAAAAGAAAGAAAAGTAGGAATCAATTGGACTGTGGTAAGCAAATTTTCATGTTCGACCTTCAAACTAGAGATGTTACTTTTTCCTACGGCTTGCAGAGACCTACCCCAAGCGAGGCGGGAGATCCCCATTTAAGAGTCATGTGGGGTGGGGGTGTGGGGTGGAGGTGAGGAGAAAAATTTTCCCATGACCTAAACAGGATGCAAATGGGGAATATGTTCTCCATCACTATTTATTTGTATGTAAAAGTTACGAGATATTGTTGTGATGTTTACGTTTTAAGACTTTTTGAAATTAGTGAAATTTAAATTTTATGATTTGTTTTTTTTTAATGAATTATGAGGCATTCTTAGAAAACTTTAAGAATAAAATAATTTTCCAGAGAGAACCTCATCCCAGCGAGTTACCCGTGAGGAATCCCACGTTCTTCATGGCGAGTTACCTGTGAGGAATCCCACCTTGGATAGGAGAATTTTGTAGAGGATGGGGAATGAAATGGGGTCGGAGATAGGTTAGCCATCCTTATCTCCGTCCCACCCATCTCGATAACATTTCTACTTCAAACAGATTATTTTTCACTATTGAATAAAAGAACTATTTCAATCGTCATCATCATATTTGATATTTAAACTTTCAAACATCCAAATGAAATCTTCTTCCACATGAGGGCCAAGTATTAGTGCCACAAAATGACCAAGTTCTTCTGTTCGATCAGCAACAATGTAGGATGGTAACGAATTGAAGTTAAATGAGTTCAAATTTCAAAAACATGTGTTTTAGCATCTGTTGTGGCTCTCTAAACTTTTGGAGCCAAACTAAAAGAATGACTCCAATCAGATAAGATTTTCTAAAGAGTAATTAGAAACCTATGGACACACAACCCGAATGAGAGACATGAAACCGAACAAGGTGTCAAACACTTCCCTGGATCCCTCTACACACCGAACAAGGTGTCAACCACCTCCCTCGATCCCTCTACCCTTCTAAAAAATCCTGTCGTTTCATTCGTACCACAAAATCTAGAGTACACAAAGAAACCCGCCTACCACAAAAACTGATCCTTATCCCTAAACGGAGGGTAATGAAGAGCCTCCTCCAATATTAAACTACCTTGGTCCTTCTTTACCTCGAAAAGTGACCATCTAAACTTGCTCCTAGGGAGAATTGCATGGAAGCATCATATTTGTTCGATCTTTGATTGTTCGAGATTCCTTCTCTTCTCGTACTAGATTTTTTCATACAAACTTTCCAAGCTAATCATGCCAGGTTCGGGTTCAGGGTCGGGATGTGGACAGGCAACAGTTCAACAATAACAATAAGTACAAGGTGTAAAGTGGGAAAAAGCACACTTGGTTTGTAATTATACTCATCAGGCAAATACTATAGTTCTCACAATATCTACAAATAAGGCATCATTTTCCTAGTACATGTAACATTCAGTATATTTTGGTTTACTGGTGAGCACAAGACCTCACTCAAGTAACCATGCGAGACTCTATTCTAAATTCATCTAACTCACAAAATAGTGAAAAATGAAGAATTTTCCTTTTGGAGGAAAAAAAGGAAAAGTAAAATGAATTTAAAAACCTAAAGCAGCAGCACTCACTTAAACTGCTGGTTTCTTGGTTTTCTATCTTTGAAGTTGTTGCTTGCAGAGAGGGCACGAAGATGTAATAGCAAGCCACTTATCTACACACTTTTGATGAAACACATGAGAACAGGGCAACTGTCTCACTTCTTCTTTGTCTTTGTACTTGGCAAGACAAATGCAACATTCCTGAGAAATGCAAGGCAAACAAAAGCATTTTAATTCCCGTCGTTTGGAAAAGCAAATACGAGAAAAAGAAAAGGTTTGAAGAAGAAATATTACTTACTGGATCCTCTTTTGGGGGTCCTGTATGGCTATCAGGTTGATTTCCAGGTTTGATGTTGGAGTCAACTGCTTTGTATCTCCAGGATGGTAGCTGGGAAATTTGATCATCTGACGCTCCTTTTTCGGTTGATCCCATGTTCATGTTATATCCTATAAGGCTACTAATCAATGGCACACAGCAACATAGCAGCAGAAACAGAATGAATGGGAAAGAGTAGCAGATGGCATTCCAAACTAGCAGGATGCTGCATAGGAGATGTAGCTTGGGAGCTCTTTGGAACGAGCCAAAGCGAGAATCGAAGACCCAAAGATTACCCATTACGAACCATATCGCAAAGAAAAGTTCGAGTAACGTCCGACATTTGTTCGTCAAATGTGAGTACCTGAATGACATGTTGAATAAAAGTAGTGAGATAGAGGTGCAAAAAGGTTGCACATCAATATAGCAGGAAAGAGTAAAGTTCTGCATTTTTGCATATGCAGACTTTTTTGAATATTTAAGCCAAAGCAACCCAAAAGTCTGCCTTGACTTATTTTCATTTACTCAAACAATTTAAGAACTTCTAATCCTGTGGGTCATGAATAAAACCTTTCATTCTTCAACTGAGTTTCTGAGTATTGCTAAATAAAGACTCATGAACTGAGTTTCTGAGTATTGATAAATAAAGACTCATGAACTGTACAAAGTTTTGCCCTGGAAATGCTCCGAGAAGAAGTTTAATTAGAACATGAGATCCTAAGTTACTTTGTCTATTCTAAAATATCTCAGGATATAATCCAACATATTTCATGATTATGATTTCTGCCGAAAATCAATTAAGAGGAAACTAGCATGTTTGAATACCTCGACGATTCATTGCTTCTCTGCTGTTCAATATCCAAAAGGCTGTTACCATCTCCTTGCATTAGATAGAGATACCGATAGCGGCCGTAGAGAAGCAATAGGCTAAGAAGGCAGCCAAGATCATAACCACCTATCCACAATCTCATAGGCCAAACTGGCCTCTCAGTCTGTGAAATAGCAAGAGTAAACACTGAGATGATCAGCTGAAACAACAGAGCTACAAGCTCCATCGCCATCCACGCACTTGAATTGAAAGGATTTGGCCCAAGATCAGATCTCGATCCGTTCTGGTAGTGGAAAACTCTTCTCAAGAAAATGAACCATCTGGCTCTTGATGCTTTCATCGCTGTTCTAACCCAGAAAGAAGGGGGGAGGGAATCAGATGTCTCATTTCTGATATCGTCAGCCGTGGCGCCATCATCTTCAGACACCGAAATCGAAATAAAAGAAGTAGTAGCATCGGAATTAAATGATGGACCAGAAAGGAAGAAACCAGAATGAATCATTGCAAAAAATGATCTCTTCCAGCTAAAACCAACCAAGCTTCTTATCTAGAACAAGACGACAAACTAAACTACCTGGACTTGAAAAAGTTGGAAAGATGAACATAGAAACAGGGGGTTCTCATGAAAGAATAACTGAAACCGAAGGGCCAGTCCAAGGATGAAGACAACCAAAATCACACAAGTTTTGCCCTTAATGATTAAAAAAGAAACGGAACACACTTTGGGGCAAAAGCTAATGATTCAAATTCATGAAAGTCTCATGTCCCAACTTTCAGGTATTCAGTGAGGCAAAACTTCAAACACCTATCGTGCATAAAACCCGAGATGAAAGAAGCTTTTGATGGGTCGTATTCTTTTGAAGAAACAAAGAATTTTGAGGTATATAGAAGCAAAAGACAAGAGAAGGCGACGAAAATGGTTGGGAAAGAAGAAGGCAGGGAAGGTGGAGTTGGGTCGCAGAGGGTCACCAGAAAAATCAACAAACAGAGAAACCCAAGATTCGCTTACTTTGATTACAAGTGAAATCAGAGGGTATAGAAATACGCCAAAGCGTTGGCCTAACTTCCTTAAAGTTTTCGTCAATTCAACAAGCAAAAGCCAAACCAAAAACCAAAATCCCCAAGAGAATGAAGAGATCAACCGTTTTCTTCAACAGTTGAACCGCGAATCTTCCTGTGTCTCAATCAGCCCTCCACCCTTATCAATCCAGATACTCCTGCAAGATTCAAAAGAAATACATATAAAAAAGAAAAACCCACATGGGGTTTCGAGTGGATAAGGGAGAGAAAGATTACAGATGGCGGGTACAGTAACTGAAGATTTTTCAAATTTCATTACCCTTTTTCTTTTGGTTTTGAAAAGGGTGTTTTCAACGGTGAATGGTTGGCCACCAAATCCAACAAGCAAGATTGAAGGGTGGTGGGGGGCGGAGTGGCCCTCAGGGGCAGATATTTAAAGCATAGAGGGAATGGCGGATGGCCACACGCCATTGTTGAAGAGAGGGGAAGCTCGGCGTGGGCCGCCCATGGGAAATGCAACGTGGAGAGCTAATCCAAAACGCAGACACAACAAAATGAGAACTTCCCTTGATTCTTCTCTCTGGATTGGGAATTCAATTGCAATTCAATCTGTAGAAGGCATCAACATCAGGAAGATGGGATGTGTGGCCACTGTGGGGGCAGTGTTTTATTTTAGGGTTTTTGATTGCTTCATTATTGGGAGAGAGATTGTGGAGAATAATACCCATTTTATCTACTAGAGACAAAGAGTGTGTTTTTTATTGCTTCTTTGGATGAGTATTCTTTTTTTCTTTTTAAGATTTAACTTAAATTTTATTTCGATAACAATATCGATATTTTTATATGTTTATAGATTTGACATTGGTACTAGAGGCGAGTTGACATTTTTATAGTATCAAAAATATTAGTGAAATATAAAAAATATCAATAAAATATCACTAATATGAACATAATATTAATATTAATATATTTTAACTTATTTAAAAACATTAAAATCCAAAAGATTCCGGAAAGATATGAGCCAACATAAATCTTATTTATTATTTTAAATATTTATTATAAATTTTATAGAAATATCTATTGATATTTCAAAAAAAAAAATGAAATCTTGGTATTTTTATCACAATTTAAAACTTTGGTGTGTATAATATTATAATGTTTTTTAAGAAAGATATTTGTTACCTTATATCTTATCTATATCTTTATATGATATTCATCATCGTCATATATATAAGAGAGAAAATACAGGATGATTATCTAGGATGCTTGGTAGAGGTGTGAATGATTGAAGGTATAATGTAATTGTCGCTACAACTATGCAGGCTTGTGGTACGTTAGTTCATCATAAAACATGTCAGCATGCCACCAATTGCATTGTTTGTGCATCAATCTCGTCCAATATAAACTCGACTAGTTGTCATGCTTGATGTGACTTCCTCGAACCTTAAGTCCTATCAAGCCTTTTGACCTTGCAACTTTCTCATCTCACATGGTGTAAAGATTCACTTGAGCTAGTTAGATGGTTTCCTAGTCTCTCATGATCTTCGACGTTATTCTATGACTCATCGAGTTAGGTTAGGTGGCTTCTTATTTGATCTCACTGGAGCCAACCCTCATTTTACTCGAGCTAAGTGGTTTTTTTTGTCTAACTTGAATTGGACTACCAAGCGACTAAATTCACCTTTGACTTATTGAAATTTGCTTCAATGAAGGTTTTGACTAAAAAGTCTAAAGTTTGGTGTTGTAGGATAGCAAACTCATTTGAGTCCAATTTCGTTGAATCATCGTCAAAGCTCTATGCCAAAAATAGGACATTCTAATCTATCTTATTTCAAGGAAAGTCGTAGGAAATTGCTCCTAGTAGCTCTTACACATGATTTTCGACACTATAACTTCTTAGCTCGTAAAGTACAGCAGCTTACTTGAATAACTACAAACAGTAGTTGAAGATGATAATACTAAATTGTCTATGGTTGAGGCTCAAGGAGCCGTAACAAAGATAATTATTCCTCCATTTAATATTTTAATCAACTATGTCATCATAAACTTAATTCAGTGATAATTGACACATATCTTCGACTAAAACGTCTTGAGTTCGAATCCTCCATCTCCATTTATTGTACTAGAAAAAGAAACATTCAACTATAAATGTTTAGTCTTTTCCTAGTGGATCAAAACTTAGGGAACCTAAGATATAAGTAAAATAATATTGGTGATATCCCTATCAAATCCAAACTTCCGAATTCCGTAGTTACGGGAAATTTCTGTGGACACGTGGCGAGAACCCACCGGCCGAATCAGCCAACCAACCAATTTGTGAAAACTATATGAAAATTACAGTTGCGTCATAAGCTTATACAGTTATACTTGGACACTCAATTCCTTGCCTGCTCGATACGTGGCATATTGTCAAAGGGCAAAATGGAAAAAACAACTTGTCATATAATTATTTGATATTTAATTTAAACTACATATATAATTTTTTATTATGTACAATTTTTCTAGTTTTATTCTTGATGTTTCCAAAGTCTCAATTTCATTTTCTATGTATTAATTTTTTTTTCAATATAATTCTTACATTCATGAAGCATTAAAAAAGGAAATTATGTCTAAGCTGAAATTTTCAATGTGATACGATTTTGTAATTTGTTTTGCTATCTTATAATTTAAAAAACAAAAGAATTTGATGCTTTGAATTTAAAACTAAGTATTTTTATGAAGATATAAGTGGTAGGTCACCTAAGTTATATAAAGTTGGAAGGTTTATTTATTTTCTTGGTGGACATGTACGTGTATTATTAAATTCAATTAATAAAATGTACGTTATGTGATATCATCATTTTAAACATTGAAATTAAACTTGTAAAAAGTAGATGACATAACTAAAAAATGACACAAACAATATGATCAAATTATATATCCAACGCTATTATTTTATATGTTTCATGTAAAAAATTAAGATACCTATTTCCAACTAAAATGTTGTGAGTTTGAATCTCCACCTGATCACTTGAAAACGAGAGTGTTTCATAAATATCTATTTTTAACTACCATAAT